TTGAAGATTTTGAATTTAATTTTGGGTTTAAAATCTTTCCTATTGTAGAAAGACACTGATAGCAGGATTTTTAGGGCTCTTTCAAACTCTACTTAAACTCCAGACTAATTATTTGTATAATTATATCTGTAATTATGGATGCTATTTTACCTTGGTTCTTTCATTTTTGTTGATATATTAAAATTAACACATTATTATGAACTTACCACCTACCTTGGTCTTTTTTAATAGTATCACCATCCTCCAGTCACCCGATCTCAACATGTTAAGTCACCTTTGACTCCTTTCTCTTGCCCTGATGACCAATTACATTAAAAAATCCCATTAAATCTAATTCTGTAGTCAGTATCTTGTACCTTTTTCCTCCCCCTGCTTACTGTTATCTCTAGTTCAGACTGTTTTCTGCGTTTCCTGCCACCAGACGGCTTCCACAGTCTTACACATTGCAACGGGGTTGATTTTCCTAAAGCACAACTCTTCATTGCTTTCCATTGGATAGAAAATAAAATTTGAGCTCTAATTGTTATCTCTTGACGCATAGCAAACCACTCCCAAATTTAGTGACGTAATACAACAGTTTTGTTTCTTGACAATATTGTGAGTCAGGAGACTGGGAAGGGCTCTCCTGGACCATGTTTTTCTGATCCACATGGTGTCTGCGGAGGTGATGGGGGCTGGAGGATCCACTTCCAAAATGGCTTCTTCATGGGAAGGCGGGGCTTAGCTGTCGGTCCTCGTTCCACGTAGTGTCCTGGGCTTTCCATGGGTCTCTTCAGTTGGGTAGTCAGACCTCTCCCATGGTGACTCAGCTTCAAGAACCCTAGGTAGAAGCTGCTCTTCTCTTTAAAGACTGAGCTTGGAACGGGCACAACATTCAGTTTAGCTTAAATACTGCTATCTGCTCTAAGCAATCCCTGACTAGTCCTCCCACAACTGGAATAGTCTCTTTGGGGGAGTGGAGGGGGTTATAATTATTTATTTTTTAAAAAATTATTTTTCAGTTACAGTTGACATTTAATGTTATATTAGTTTCAGGTGTACAACATAGTGGTTTGATATTTATATAACTTATGAAGTAATCCAGAAGTCTAGTACCCACCCGACTCCATAGTTATTAACAATATTACCCACTACATTACCTGTGCTGTACTTTACATCCCCGTAATGGAATAGTCTCTTTATTGCACTAATGACTTTATACTTTGTAGTATACTTAATTGTAGACATATTTTTCCTCATTGATGGGATTCCTAGTTTTCTGAGGTAAGATCCACGTATGATTTTCTTTGTGTTTATTCATCATGATGCACAACACATTATCTATACCACGTGGCAAGCCCACAGTAAATATATGTTGAATTAATGTATTTTAATTTTAAGTGTTAATGTATATAATGCTAATTTAGAAATAGAAATAGAAATTTTCTAATAGAAATTCTTCTATTAGAAAAATCAGAAAATATATGGAAGCAAAAAATATAAACTACCTTAAACTTATTACTTAGAAATAACCATTATTAACTTTTTGTTTTTATTAATATTGATTAAATATTAGTACAGGTTTACAAAGAATGGCTCTTCAAATACTTGTTAAGATGAGAAGCTACTATTTGAAAAATAAAAATTATTTATAGACTTAAAAAATATACTAGGAAGAGGCATTGTGGGGAGCTGGGGTGATGGTCGTTATCGGCGTCTCCCAGTCTATTCCTGGTTCTGCTTTGCCTACCTTTCCCTGGAACGTCCAAAGAGATTAACTCATTAAATTTGAAACATCTTTCATTACCCCAAAATCAGTGTTTGCAGAAGTGACAGGCATATTTATGGAGATTATTTTAGAAAGCAGGAACACTACAAAACCCCAGGACCATGCAATATTATGTTAAGAGCATGTGGAAGGAAAAATGGAGACGCCACATGAATAGAAGAATGAGAAGAAAATGATTTGTTAGAGACAGAGCAAAGTCTGTCTCTGGTCCTGAGGAAGCAAAGATGTAATTTGAAAACCAGAAAATTGCGTGAGAGAACCATGAGTGATTCCCATTTTTTTCCTGACTATCTTTGTTTACCAAATATTCTACAATGGGCCATACTTTATAACTAGAAAATCCTGATGAACTTGATTGTTTTTACCTAAGCCATTTTACCTGACTGGTTATATATATGGCTGTGATTCACAGCTTTAGTCTCTGACAGAAGTATGTTTTTAGAGCCACTTATTTATTCATCAACCGTGTGAGACACTGGAAACAAAGCTGAATAAGACATAGTCAGGGGCATGTGGAGAAAACAAAATGTGAGTTCTTTCTCATGTCGATTCAGCTATACAAGGAAGAGGAGGTATAAGATTCTCCACAGTAATGAAGTGAAGAAATACGTGCTAGTTTTTGGTTCTGTTTTGGAAGCATTAGCTGATATTTGACGATAGAGTATAGTCATAAGTGTACATATTTTTATAATAAAGGGAAGAGGCAAGAACTGAAATATTCTTTCTTGGGTGCTGTTTCTTATTTCTGGACTCCAGTTTTGTTTATTTTCTTAGGTTGTCTGATCAAGAAGTGAAAAAATATTTAGCTTCTTGCTACTTCCAGAGAAAATGAAGTTTCTTTTATAGAAGAAAGTAAGATTTTGCTGTGAAAAGTTAAAAAACTAGTGAAAAGTAGGTTGTTAAGAGGAAAATACAGTTTCCCCTCTCCAGTTTGGCTGTATTATCAACTGTTATAAATAAACACTGCATCTACTATGTATTGGTGATAAAGAAAAAAAGCGCCTGTTTTGACAGCATTTACTATATATAAGGTACCTTTTCATATTTCATTCTTCACAGCCTTAGAAGATAAGAAAAATAGCTATTTCCATTTCACAGATAATAATAATCATAATGGGACACTTGCTGCGTTCCAGGCTCTACGCTAAACCCTTTATACATATTTAACTCCAATTTTAAAACAACCTTATTTTACAAATGAAGGAACTAGGCTCAAGAGATTAAGCAATTTACATAGTCACTGATTCACTAAATGGTGAAACTGGGATTCATACTTAGGCATTCTGATCTGAAGCCCAGATCAGAGAACTGAATGTCAGGGGTCGAGTGACCTTTACAGAGAAACTAGTTAGGAGGAGAAATTCTTCTATTAGACTCCTTTTCTCACTGCAGGTGAGGGCCACTTTATGTGCCACTCATGAGGAATCTTGCTTTTAAAGCACCACTAATGATCTGCTTAACAAGCTTGACATTCTAACTAAATTAGATGTGAAATGAATCATATTTTTCTTTGATTTCCAATGTAAAATTGAAGGAACCTAGTTGTGGCGAAAGAAGAAATAAGAACCTTGGCTATTGGAATTAAGTGTTCAGAATACTTTTTAAAAATTCTACTTGAAGAAAAAGTAAAGTTTGAGTAGATGCAGTTTCAGGTTTGACACTGGAACTCTTTTGTTTATACTGTACTATTTGTAAATAACATTACTGTTATTTCAAGTGACAGACCCAAACATAGGCTTGGATTTATAATTCTTAAAAATTGAAATATCTTCATCCAGTTATAGATACCGGAAATTTCTGTTGTAAATCTTAAACATAGTCTTGGTATACAACTTTATATTCTCTAAGTTGGAAAAATGCTGATATTATTTGACTATTAACTCTTTGTAGATACTTAATAAGAAACCAGAATCTGGGGCCTACCTCCAGTGAAGCACGTGGTTTCTCCCAACAAGGCAGAGAAAACTGAGATTTTCTTAAGAGAGGAAGAAAAATGTCGAGTGGGTAGATTACAGATAAGATCTTGGAACTAAAGAGGCCTCATAGCAGTTATAATTTTACCCCTTTGGTTCTTATTGATTTTCATTCTTCTAATTTTTGTCAGAGTAAAGCAAGAAAATGTTTCAAAGTCAAACTACAGAAAGACTTAATTAAAAGCAATAATCCTCTCCTCCTCATCCCCAGCTACTGTTTCCCAGAAGCAACCGTTTTTTTCCACTTATAACGGATTTGTTTCTCTTAACTTTTCCACTAGGAAATAGAACACACACAAAGAAGTTTCACCCCAAACTAAACTTAGGCCTGTGCCTAAACTATCTAAATAGAGTCATTCAGTGTATATTTTATGTCTGGGTTCCTTCATTCAACCATTTTGTTTAAAATATCCATCCATGTGGTATGTGTAATGGCTTCATTTTTGCTGCTGTATAGGTTTTAATTGTATGAACATACCACAGTGTATTTGTCCATTCCATCATTGATGTGAGTCTTTCTCAGTTTTTGGCTCTTAGAAATAATGCTGCTGTGAACATTTTTGTCATAGACCTGGTACATGTAAGCATACATTTCTGTGATACAGATTCTGGCAGTGGGTTGTTGGGTCTTTAGGGGACATAGATCTTCCACTGTAAGTGATGAAGTCAGGCCTTTTTTGCACAGTTACATTCCCACCAACAGTGCCCAGGGGTTTCCTGTCCTCCACATCCTCAGCAACACTGATAATTTGTTGTCCGATAATATATTCTGACAGGTGTGAAGTGATAGCTCATTGTGGTTTTGATTTGCAGTTCCCTAATTAGTGAGATTGAGCACCTTTTCACAAACCTGTTAACTTTCTGAATACCTTACTTGGAAAAAAGTATTTAGGTCCTTTGCCCATTTTTAAATTGATTATGTGTATTTTTGGTATTGAGTTGTATGAGTTCTTTATATATTTTAGATTTTAACCCCTTATCAGATAATATAATTTGCAAATATTTCCTCCCATTCTATAGATTGCTGTAATTGAGTTTTTAAGTGTACTTTTGTTTTTTATATATCTGATGTTTTTGATCCTTTATTCCTTTTTTATATGTTCTTTTGCAGTGATTGGGTTTTTTAATTATTCCATTTTTTTCTTTTCTATTAGCTTTTTAGTTATACATTAGTTTTCTTTTTAGTATTTTCACCATAAGCTTAGAATGCTACCTTGACCAGATATGTGGGAAGAGTTTTCATACTCCCCATTATTAATGTTCTTTTTTCTTTTTCAGTCTCTTTGGAACAGATAGTCACCATGTTTAGATATTAGCAAGCACATCTGTGCGTGTCGGCATTCGAAGATGGCAGAGGGCAGTAACAATGAAGAGGTGATTCACTTCAACGGCTTTCACTGCCACCAGGGACAAGGTACCTGTTCTCTCGCACTTTCACCCTTTCATCATTGCTTTTCCCTAAGTCCTGCAGTTATAGCATCTTTGAAATGAACCTGTTTTGTACCATGTAGAACCCAGAGACATTTCATTTTTAGACTTCAGAACATCAGATGTAAATGGACTCATCAAATGGTGATATCTGCTGAATGAAGTTTCTTAAGAATCTTCCATCATAAGTAGATAAATAAGCCATTAATTAGCAGGCTAAAAAGAGCTGTGAATGTGTAGTCACGGGATCTTAAGAGGCGGGAGTATGAGAACAGTGGCATGTCTCTGTTTTTGAAGGAATGGTGACTCCTCCAGGCCTGTGGGATCTAAAAGTGCTAAGGGTGCTGCTAAAGCATTTTTAACCCCCTTACGGTGCTTAATTTCTTCTTCTTCTTTTTTTTCTCCCCCAGAAAGTTCTGTTTTAGCCTTACAGGGAATTTTGGGATATATATTTTTTCATTTTATGGTGTTATATATTTGAGGAAATTCTTTGATTCATAAAAAAAGGAGCTTGCATTTCTATAACTTCATTCCTGAATGTGTATGAAATTTCCTGTGAAATCGTAATTCACATTTATACATGAGCTAAAAGGGAAAATTTTATGCTGATGAGTAGGAAAAGATCATTTTTTGCATGTATAAATTACGTGGAAGAGGTTGTACCAGTTTTTTTCCATTGATAATATTTTGTGCTTATGAAGATGACTTGTTTTTCAGCAGAGGGTAAATTAGATATATTTGGTGTTTATAGCAAAAACAATTTTATTAGACAAATAAATTGAGAAAAATAAAATTGCTTAAGCTCTGCAAATTATGAGTACTACAAAAGAATACTGATTCTTTTTTTTATAATTTCATTAATAGTGTTTTCTTACTTGGTGGTGATCGTAGCTATAATTTGTGATTCAGAAAATTTTAAATTGTAGTTATAATTTCTACATATGATCATTTACAAATTTTCTGAACAAGTATATCAAATTAATGTTGCAGTTGTTTTTTAATTGGGTCTTAAATATACTTGAACATTTCTTTAAGAACACCCAATTCCCTTTTGGAAATTATTGACTTTGGAAGGTTTCTTTGGTTTTGTTTTGTTCTTAAAGATCTAATGTATCTGCCTTTTGTCACTAGACAATTTCATATGAATGGAAGCATACAGTATATTCTTCGTGCCTGAATTCTTCTGCCCAACATAATTATTTTCAAGATTCATTCATGTTATTGCATGTATAAATAATTCAGTCTATTTTAATTGTTGAATAATATTCACCTAGAATTCTATACCCAGTTAAAATAGGCTTAAAAATGAAGGTAATATAAAGAAAGGTTAATAGCACAGGAACGAAAACAGATGCGTTATGCAAATAGTAGCTTAAAAAAAGGCTGATATGTCTACATATTATCAGATAAAATAGACATTCCAGCCAGAAGTATTAATAAGGATAAAGAGTTCATAATGATAGAAAGATAAAAGCACTGGAAAGCTGAAACAGTTCTAAAAATATATGCAAAGCAAAAATTGGCAGAACTGAAAGAAGAACAAATCTGCATGGGAGATTCGAACTTGTTTCCTTCAATAACTGAGAAAGAGCAAAAGCATACAAACATTTGTATGAATACAGAATATCGGAAGATACAATCAACAAACTTGACATAACATACATATATAGAATATTGTACCCAGTACATTTACCAAAATTGACCATATGTTGAACCACAAAATAAGTTTCAAGTTTCAGAGGAGTGAAATCACATAATGTTTTCTAACTACACTGGAATTAAGCCATAAATCAATTACAGAAATATAGTTAGAAAATCCCTGTATGTGTGGAAAATAGGAATGCACTCTAGAACAGCCCGTAGTTCAAAGAAGCAATCACAATGAAAATTATCAAATATGTTGAATTGCATGATAATGAAAATGCAATTCTATTAGAGTTTATGAGATGCATCCAATGTCATGTTTTGAAGAAACTTAATAGGTTCATAAAACAAAAACTAAAAGTCAAGAAAACTAAAACGTATATGTTGGATAAGAAGTAAAGCTGAGAAATTAATAATCTAAACTGGGGCTCAGCAGCCTTAGAGCCGGATAGTCACTATTTTAGCCTTGCAGATCATATAGTCTCTGCTGCAACTGCTCAGGTGTGCCACTGTACTGTGAAAGCAGCTATAGATAAATATATAAATGAACAAGCGTGGCTATGTCCCTATAAGGACATTATACACTGCTGGTGGGAGTGTAAATTGGCACATACAATTTGGAAAATTGTTTAGTGTTGTCTACTAAAATTGAACATGCACTTTCCCTGTGACTCAGCACTTCCACTCCTAGAGTGTACCCAACTGAAAATGAGTATACTCATTTTAGTAGACATGTACAAGAATGTTCATAACAGCATTATCCAAAATAGCCAAGACTAGAACCAATTCAAGTGTTCATCAACAGAAGAAGAAATAATTATTTATGATATAATCATATAGAGCATTATATACAGCAGAGAGAACTACTGTGACATACAGCAGCATGGACATATCTCAGATATGTTATTTGAAAGAAAGCCAGAAATAGTGTATACTCAAAAACAAGCAAAACTAATCTGGGGAGCTAGGCTACTCATGTGCTAGAGGTGGGCTTTTAGTATTAATTCATGGAGCTACACACTTGATTCATAGACTTTACTCTGTTATACTTTTTTAAAGTATATTTTAAAAGCTAATGTATTTATACATGATGTATTGGGAAATATCTTAACCATTGAGTTTTACTGTAAGATAATAGGTTTCAAACCAACTTTTTCATTGGGCCCCCAGTGTTGTTTTCTGTAAGTGTCTTTTTCTTAGGCTCATTCTTTCAGAGAAGAGTCTAGAGTTTCCTGCATATGAAATCTAAAACTCTGCCGGCATTCAGAGAACCAAGCCACAGAAGGCAGCTGGGGTCTTTTTCATTATGCCATTTCAGTGGCACCCCTTTCCTCTCTTGACCCCAGGCCTGGTGTCTGGTCCTCTCTGCCTCAGAGTCTCTTTAGAATGGACCTCCACAGGGTAGGTCTTCTGGAGTGGCTAACCGAGGAGCTTGGCAAATCCTCTTCCCAAAGTCAATGATAAAGTTAAACAAGATTGTCAAAAACTACCATTTAAGACTGGAAGTGACCAAAGATATGTTTATTCAAGAACATCTAGGATTCTGCAGCGTGAATTAGGCCAGCTCTGGTTGGCTTCCCCCTCTGCAGGCTGAGTTTGAACCTCCTCCACTCTGCTAGAGTTCTTGGCAGCTGTCATCTTCTTTCCTCTTTTTTATTAAGGCAAGGCAACCCTTGGTTGACCTCACAGATTGCAAAGATCTTGTCAGCTTATAATCCCTCATTTTTTACGCCTACAGCACCTGGTCTTCCTAGATGGTCTCCCATCCAAGTACTGACCAGGCCTAACCCTGCTTAGCTTCCGAGATCAGATGGGATTGGGCTTGTTCAGAGTAGCATGGCTGTAGACTTTTCTCCTTTCCTCTTTTTTGTGTATTTGAGAGGTTATACTTCAGGAGGTGATGGTGACGGTCACTTAAATTCATTCTGCCAGGTTTAACCAGAGTCCTCTATCATGTACTTCCCAGGCCTTCAGTTCAGTTGGTTGTTATCAGTCTACTGTGTAGGTTGCAAGGGACTTGAAATTAGATACCTTTACTATGTGTCAAATATTGTGATAAACAAGCATTCTATGTGAGCTTTCTCAACGAATACAACTACTTGAGGCAGGCACCATTGTTAACCTTTTTTTAACATTAAGGAAATGGATGCGTAAAGAAATTAGATAACAGCATCAAGTAGCTAGCATGGTGGAGCTGAGTTTGCACCTAGGCAGTCTGACTTTAGATCCCACAGACTTACCTGTGTTAAACTGCTGTCCCTCGCATTACTACAGCTCTGTTACAGGAGTGAAATGAGATAATTGATTTTAAATTGCTTTTCAGATTGTTAGGTGCCATAAAAATATGAGGCATTAACCTTGACAAAGACGTTAGAGCTTTAATGAAGGAACTTCAAAATTTGTAATGTGATGTCTCATTTCTTTTTTCTTTTTAACTTTTTTATTCCTAGGATACTTAATGTATTTTCTCTTCATTGCCTATTTTAGCTTTAACATTCCCATGGAACCAGATAGGAAAAATATTAGTTTGTGTTTTTCAGTAATTCATATCAAACATGATCCATTTTCAAACAGATCAAAGAAGTTGGAGACCTTGAACAGAATTGCTATATCTAGGTGGTTCATTTAACTCTAGTTATATTTAAAAGGAAACTAGGAAAGTTAAATTGTTTACTGTCATAGATGCTAATCGAGTGTTTGGCTAAAACACAGAAATATATATAAATGATACTTAAGATTTATGTCTAAGATGAGCAAATTTTAATATTTTAAATATTAAATGAAAATTTTACTATTTTTGAGTGAAAGTTTTTCAGACCTATCAGTTTGAATAACAGTGTTTTATTCCCTGGGAGAATTGGAGATGAGGTGGAAGGCCATGATTTAACTTTTAAGAAATTGGCAGTCAGGACAAGACGATTTCATCAACAGATTTCTCTAATCTCATATAAGGAGACGTTGATAATCTTGAGCATAATAGTTGTCAGATTTTCTCAAGTGTTTTTTGCAATGTATTATTGGAAAAGATCAGGATAGAAACATGGCTCTTAACGCTTAGGTTCAGATGCTGCTTGTGGAGATAAGTTAACTCACCAGCAGCCATGAACTTGGCTTTCAGTTTGACTCTTTGCATGCCAAAGCTAAATTAAAGGACTGAATGTGGTTGCACCCACCTCTTGGTGACAGTGTTTTCTGCCTACCTTTAGACTGGATCGGTCTCAGAGATGGACCCATCACCATATCCGACGACTCTGATGAGGAAGGGGTTCCAATGCTGGTCACCCCAGCTCCTCAGCAACATGACGAAGAGGACCTGGATGATGATGTCATCCTGACGGAAGTGAGTTTTCTTAAACTTACCGTGATGAGGCATTATTGCAAGTTAGCGATCTGGTTCTTCAGCTACTCAGTGGAGGGTGTCGGGGCCTTGTGAACAGCTGAGAGCAGCGCTTGTGCTGCGCATCGCTTGCCCTTGTTCTGCTGCTGAGAACAGCCCCCTTCCACCCTGCCTGAGGTCCCCTTAGCGTTAGGAGCCGTATGTTTGGGTCTGTTTCTGGACTTCTCTGCACTGTTGCTCTGTCTGACTGTTCATGTACTAGTCCATGCTCATCTCCCCTTATTATTATACATTTTTCAGAATCATCCTTGATATTTATAATATTGACCCTTTCTAAGAACAATTTTTGTTATTTAAAAGTTGGTTTTTGTATTCATACTCAAGTCACCTTATTTTTAATGTCTCATCATTTTTTTCAGTTGACCCTCATAATTTCTCAAGGGGTCGTGTCTGATCTATCTGCAGATGATAAACTTACTTTCTTTTCAGTTTTTATACCTTCTCTTGTCTAATTTTATAAGTGATACCTCCTCAAAAATTTTAAGTAATAATAGTAATGGGAATAAGAAAAATAGCCACTAATATAAATGGGAATGCTTTAATATTTCTTCACTAAGTATGGTGGTGGCTTTTTGCTCGAGATAACATTTTTTAAAATTATGTTAAGGAAGTAGCCATCTACTTTATTTCAAGTTTTTAATGCATGAATGTACAATTCTATCAAATTCAATTTTAGCATCTATGGAGATGATCATATAATTTTTCTTCTTTGATTTGTTAATGTAAATTATTCTGTTTCTAGATAGACTCCACTTGGTGGTAGTATTGTAGTTGGTAGGTTCTATTTGCTAAGATTCTATTTAGGGTTTTCTCCGTAGATCTTATAATCAAGATTGGCCCATGGGTGCTATCCTTGACAGATTTTTTATAAACATGATTCTGATTCTGACTTTATGAAGAATTGAGAAGTTTCTTTCTTTTTCTATAGTCTGATAATAATATTTTAAATAACATTTTAAATAATATTTTAAATAACAACAACAACAACAAAAAAAAAACATTAAAAAACGTTAACTTCCTTAAAGATTTGGTAGAATTATCCCTAAAGGCATCTAAGCTGTTGCTTTTTGTGAAGGACAGTTCTTTGAAACTCTCAGCTTCCTCCAAGGTAATTAACATGTTTAGATCAATATCAGTTTTCAATATCAGTTTTATTCACTGATATTTTCCTAGAAAATCACTTATTTCCTCAAGGTTTTTTAATATATTTAATAGAAATGTACAACTTAGCTTGCTGGTCTTTCTTCTGCCTCTAAATTTATGATGGCTTCATTTTCCTTTTCTATTTTGTGTGCTTTGTATTTTTTCCCCTTTTTTCTTGATTTGATGAGCTAATCATTTTCTTCCTTCGTCACCTTGTTCTCTTCCTTTCTCCTTTACCACAGAACAGCTTCTGAGATTTATTTTGTAATGTTACCATTTGTTTCCTTACTTGTTTTTGCATTTGTCTTTATTAATTCTTTCTTTCTGCTTTAGCATATTCAACATAACTTCTTTGGCATTTATTTTATGGTCCTTTTATTAAGTTCTTGAGTTATTCATCCTGTATTTGTTCTTTTATGTTATTCTCATTACTTATTGCTATGTAATATATCACCTCAAAACTTAATTACTTAAAACAACTTAGTCATTTTATTCTCTCATGGTTTCCGTGGATCAAGAATTTGAGAAGCACTCAGCTGGGTCATTCTGGCTTGGAATCTCCATGTGGCCGTGGTCAGAGGTGATGGGGCTGGGACAGAGGGAGAGTGGAGGCTGGCAGGCATTGCTTTCTTCAAGGCTTCTACATGGGATCTCTCTTTCAAAATTGAGATAAATAAACACACAATACAAGTCATCCATTTAAGGTATACAGTTCAGTGGTTTTTAGCGTATTCACAGAATTTTATAACCATTAACACAATTTTAGAACATTTTTATTATCCTCCCAAAAAACTCTATGCCCATTAGCAGTGACTCCCCATTTCCCACCTCCAATCTCTGCCCTCCCCCACCCTAGGCAACCACTAATCTTTCTATCTCTGTATATTTGACTCACGCACATTTCAAATAAATGGAATCACAATCTTTTATAACTGGCTTCTTAGTGTATTTTCAAGGTTCATTCATGCAGTACATGTATCATCAGTACTTCATTCCTTTTTTTAAACAGCTTATTGAGATATAATTTATATAGCATACATCCCTTTAAAGTGTACAGTTCAGTGACTTTTGGTATATCTAAACAGAATTGTGCGTCCATCATCACTGTTAAATTTAGACCATTTTTATTACCCCCCAAAAGAAATCCTATTCCCTTTATCTGTCATTCCTCAATCCTCCTATCCTGACCAACGCTAATAACCACTGATCTTTCTTTATAACGATTTCTAGTCCTCTGCTGAAGTTCTCAATCTAGTCTTTTATTTCCTTAAACATGCTAAATAAGCATGTTATTATTTTAGAATCCATATCCGGTGACTTCACTATCTGAAACCTCTGTAGATTTGTTTCTCTTGTCTGCTACTTCTCTTGGTTGGGTTTTCTATTATGTTGCATCCGCTTCTTATGTGCCTAGTTATTTTTTATTGAATAATAGTCATCGTTCTGTATGAAAAATTTGAGATTCTAGATGATGTTAGATCTTTCTTTAGAAATGGCCCACTTTTGTGTCTCAAAGTTTACAGGACCAGTAATCTCAGATTCATAGATTTAAACTGTCCAAACTAGGATTCAGTTTCTGAGAGGTATTTCCAGTTTACCTTTATTCAGTGGAGTAGCCCTTCAAGGACTCACATTAGAGCTTGAGATTTACCAGCATCCTGGCCCTTGGTGAATTCTGAATTCCAGTTTTTGTGCCCATAGCTCCTCAGTAAGAATATCAAAGGATTTGTTCATCTTCTCATTCTTTAGCCAGGTCTAGAATTGGCAAATGCATCTGTAGGGGGAAAGTATCCTAATGTGGGGCTCATACTGCTGGATTTCTTCCTCCTGGATCCTGTCCCCCTATATCTGAGTCTGTCAAATAGATGTTTTGGTTTTGGTTTTGCCTTGATATTTTGACCAGGTTTTCTGCTTTTCCCCCAATAAAAGGACTGATCTGAGTGATCTAGCATGCCATTACTGGAGTCAGAAGTCCACATTTGTGTGTTTACCTACGAGCTTTCTGAATCACTATGTTCCAATAATTCTTGATTATATAGTTGATTATGTAGTTGGGTTTTGCTTAGTGGTTCTATTTAAAGAGACTTCAATTTAGTAGGTGAATTGATCTTATTTATATTTATTAATGTGACTATTATAGTTTGTCTTTAGTTCTTTCATAGTATTTAATATGCTTTATGTTTTTATTGTTTTTAAAAATAACCTTTCACTATATCACCTGCATCATTGGAGTTTTATTTTTATTTATATTGGGAGTGTGTTCTTGCTGATTAATTTGAAAGGTTTTTATCTGTAGTTTTATTCTTACTAGTTCTTCAAGTAGTTACTTTTATACTTTAAAATGCTGTCTTAAAAAAATAATAAATAAATAAAAATGCTGTCCTTATAGATGTCATTGGATTTACCAGCTTTACATGTATTTTTTGACCCCCAGCTTCTCCACTTCCTCTCCCAACTTTTGATGGTTACCTTATTTCTATAAAACCATGACTTAAAACGTTTGTATTACATTCTCTATAGAAATCGAAACAATATGCATAAAACTGAAGTCTCTTCACCAGCCCCTTTCTCCCTGGGATTTCCCAGAGGAACTTTTGTTATCAGTGTGGCATGTATCCTTCCAGATCTTTTTCTTTGAATATGTGTGTATATGTGTATGCATATATGTGCTTTTAGATATGGTTGGTTATGTTTATGTCTGTTTCGATTTTTTTTTAAATATAAAACCCTTCTGTGTATTGTTTCGCATCTTTTCTTCACTTAAATGACATTTCTTGGTGAGCTTTCCATTTCAGGATCTATGGAGGTACCCCTTTTGGAGAGAGGGGAGTTGGAGACTTTTATAGAGCAAATAAATGATAATTTGCTTAGCTGTCTCTTAGGAACGAACTTTAAGATGTCTCCATTTCTTTTCTATGTTAGAAGCATTGTGGCAGTGAATATCCTTGTATATGCCCCTTTTAGATACATAACGGTTTGTAGAATAGATATAAAAAAGGTGATGCGAATAACACATACGGATATACATTTTTTTACTTTAATAAATAATGCCAAATTGCTCTCCAAATTTCACCAGCAGTTTTCTCATATCCTTACTAATGGCTTGATATTATCTAGCTAAAAAATTTGCTAGTCTTATGAGGGGGGTTCAGAATCTTATTTTAATTTTAATTTTGTTGATTGTTAATGAGATTTAGATTATTTTCATATGTTTATTGAACATTTCTCATTTCTTTACTGTGTTGTCACTTTTTCATTATTTACTATGCACTTTTTTTTTCGGTTTTAGTGGTCTTATGTGAAATGATAATTCAAACTATAATTCAGGCTTCAGTCTATGAATTGTTACCTTGATTCTTATAGTTAGTATAGTATGATGGAGTTTCAGTGTTAAAATAAGTGTGAAAAGTAGGTCTTGTGGACGAGGGTGTTTTTGTTTTTGTTTCTTTCCTGTCCTATCTCAGAAGCTCAATATAAATACATAAGGAGACATAGACACAGGAAAGAAATTGAATTATTATTATTAAAATTTCATTTTTTCTTAGACAAGTAAACCGCAAACATCACGACCCAATCTCATCAAACCAGCTGCCCAGTGGCAAGATCTCAAAAATTTGGGAGAAGAAAGGCCTAAAAAGTCTAGAGCAGCCTTTGAATCAAATAAGAACAGCTTTTTTTCAGTGTATAACAGCTCATTGTTTGATTCTGGGGCACAGGATGATTCTGAGGATGACTACGGTGAATTTCTGGATCTTGGGCCTCCTGGAGTTTCTGAATTCATTAAGCCAAGTAGCCAAACAAAAAGAGAACCCAAGCCTGGACCAAGTCATAACCAAGCAGCAAATGATATGGTCAAACCCAGATCAGGGCCAAAAATCATTATCTGGGGAGAAAATAGTCTTCTTTTTCCAGAAGGCAATCCTTTGCGCACTCGGAACCAGTCATCTGAAGACTCAGAGACAGAGCTGTTATCAAACCTCGGAGAATCAGCTGCCATCCTAGATGACCAGACCATCGAAGACGACTACTGGTTAGACCACCCTTATTTTCGATCTTTAAACCAGCAGGCACGTGAGATAACAAACCAGGTGGTCCCTCAGGAGCGGCAGCCAGCAGGAGAACTGGGCCCACTGTTGTATCAGCACAAGCGCCCAGGGCTGGCTTTCCCACGGCCAGAGCCCCAGCAGGATGGGATTCCGGGCCCCTCTTCTCCTCCTCCTGCCCAACCTCTGGGAGAGCTTGAAGACCAGCAGTTAGCAATAGATGACGAAGAACCAGGCCCAGCCTTTCCGCTGCCAGGATCTCAGGAGCCCAATTTGGAAAACCTTTGGGGGCAAGAAGCTGCGGAGGTAGATCAAGAAGTCGTTGCACTATTAGTGAAAGAAACAGTAAGTTGTATTTTATTAAGTAAATAATTATAGACATTAAATAGACTAAGTTTTCTTCTATTGCAAAAACGTGTGTGTGTGTGTGTGTGTGTGTGTGTGTGTGTGTGTGTGTGTGTGTACACACGTACTTCATTTCCCTAAGGAGTATCCAGCTGGATACATAGAGGAGAAGCTCTGAAAACATGAAAATTGAACTAGGATTCTTTAATCTATCCTTACCCTCTACCAAGCCCTCTGGGATTCTAGCTACAGATCACAGGTGCCCTGGTGCTGTCATAAGAGCAGTCATCCAGTTTTTAAAAAGGTATTGAGTTAACTCCAAAGTCAAATCCTTAAAGTGGGCTTATAAGATTTACCTAGAACTGCACTGTCCAATGTGGTAGCCTCATGTTACTGTTTAAGTTTAAATGTCTTGCAACAAGTAAAATTACAGTTCTGTTTCCAGTGGCACCAGTCACATTTTAAGTGCTCAATAGCCACATGAGGCTGAATGGCTGCCATATTGGAAAGCACAGAATAGAATGTTTCTGTCACTGTATAAAATCCTGTTGGATATCACTGATCCAGAAAGTAGTGAAGGGCTTTATGTCTGGGCTCGGCTGTCGTTTGCCTTTGAACAGTCTCTTAACCCTTCTTTCCCCAGGTTGCATCTGGCCCACTGGGTCATGTGCTTCTTGAGGATAGTGCTGTATTCATCTTGAGACTTCCTTTACCTAAGCAGAGATGTTCAATATTTATTGAAATAATGAAGAATGGACATGCAAAATGGGAGCAGAGGACCAGATGATCTCTAGGGACCTTTCTAGATCCCATATTTTATGTAGACAGATAAATCTGGGCACCTCGTATGGAATATTAAGCCAGACGCAAACCTGCCTTATAGCCCTTTCCTAGACTGTAGTCATTTTATATACTTTTTGCATCTGGTTTTTATTACAGTTTGAAACCATTCTAGTGGATGAAATGTAAATGTTTTTATTCCTTTCCAGGAAGCGAGATTTCCAGATGTAGCAAATGGATATATTGAGGAAATAATTCATTTGAAGAATTATTATGATTTGAATGTGTAAGTATACCACCTACCTTTTCTTTCTTTTTTATGGTGGTAAAATATACATAACAAATATTTACCATTTTAAACATTTTTAAGTGTACACTATATTTTCATTTTTGCACAGCCATCACCACCATCGGTCTCCAGAACTTCTTCATCTTCCCAAACTGACACTCTGTATTAAATACTAACTCTCCATTCCCCACTCCCTCCCTATAGCCCCTGGCACTCACCATTCTACTTTATGTCTCTGTGAATTTGACTACTTCAGGAACCTCATAAAAGTAGGATCACATAGTATTTGTCCTTCTGTGACTGGCTTATTTCACTTACCGCCTTTCCCAGGTCAGCAGCCCAGAGGAAGTCTTTTTTTCTGATTCGTGCAAACACACTGTTGGTGCCAGCAACAGCCCTGTCTTTCCACCTCGGTCCAGAGGCAGCCACTATTGCCAGTTTTTAAACCAGGACTGAATCAAGGTTTCATTGTGTATTTGTTAATATTTAGCGCCTTAATCTAGAACATACTTTTTAAAGAATGTCTTTGATTTTTTTTTCTCCAGTAGTTTTGAACATAAAAAGTTGAAAGGCTGTACAATGGACACCCATATATCCACCACCTAGATTATTATCTGGCATTCTACTGTAAAGAAGATTTTGCCTTTTTACTTCCTCCTGCTCTTTTTTTTTAAATCACTATGAATATAAGGTTTTGTATAAGTGGTGTTTTATAAACCAGTTACAATTTTTCTTTTTGATACTGAACTATCCTAAATTTGGCCAGTAGGAGGAGCCTCTTCAGATGTACCTGTGCTCTTTGGTATGACTCCATTAGCCTTTGAGCACGTCCTTACTTCCTAACGTGCCAGCTTGCCCTAGGCTTACCTTGAACTTCTCTGCCTCAAACCTAGAACCTGTCATTTCTCCAAGAAATCCAGGTTTCTTGGAACGAGGATTGATATTTATAAAGTAACATCGCTACTAGCGTGTCACTATTTCTAGGCCCTTTCAAGGGACAGACCAAAGAAATACGGTTTTTTAAATCATGAATTTATAATTTCCCATTCGGCCATTAACGTTACGGGTTTTTTTCCTCAGTCTTTCTAAGTTTTACATTTTGAGTTGTTTTTTCTTCCACTAAAAATGTAAATTCTAATAACGTTAATATATTAATTTTCTTTATCCTACAATATACATAAAATAATTTTTAAACTATAGTGCTAGTGTTACTACTAATACTAACTTTACTGAGTAAAGTGAATAATGCTTATAATTATTTTTGCAATTAGTGTATATTACACTAAGGCAAAACATTTAGAAAGTAGACCATGGTGAGTCATAGATTGATGATGGTGGTCGGTTCCGGAAATTCTGTAGCCATTATCTCATCAAATAAATAATCCCTTTGCCCCATTCTCTTTCTCATCCTGTAACACTTCTCTTCTCCCCATGTCCTCTATGCCTCTCAACCCCATCTCTCTGTCTCTGAGATACATTCCGGATTGTTTCTTCAGAGCTATCTTCCGGTTCACTAATTCTCTTTTCATGGGATGTAACCTATTAAACTCATCCGCTGTGTTTTTAATTTTAGTTTCTACATTTTTCATTTCTAGTATTTTAAAAAAATTCTTCTGGTTATTTTTCTAATGTTTTATTTTTTTGCTTGTATTTTAAATTTTTTTTAGTTCTTTAAATACAATGAACATAGCTTTTTTGTGTTCTGCATGTTTTGAGTATGTAAACCACATGATAGCTGTATTATTTTTAATTAATAAACTTTATTTTAAGAGCAGTTTTAGATTCATAGCAAAGTGGAGCAGAAACAACTCCATTTTTAAAATGAAAAATATCTCCTAGACTTCAGTTCAACTAAAAAACAACCGATTTTATTTTTATGTATCCTTTTAGTTCTTAGAATGAAAACGGTTTTTTTCAGAGAGGAAATACAGTTTGGGGTATCTTACTTATGAAATAATGTTAAGTAAGAAACATTTTCCATTTTTTTCCTTCATGGTGTTAATGATTGCCTTTAATAACAATTACTCTATTGAATTTTCCTCTTTGTTAAATATTTTGTTTGTTCATAGTTTTCACTAATGCTCTGATGAACATTATTCTGCATATAGCATTTTTAAAATTATTTACTACATGCTGAAACCCTAAATTACAATTTGGAGCCTGGGATTATAAACAAATTCATGGTCCTTGGAAATATTTTCCAGATAGCTTTCCAGCAGAGTTGTACCACTGTACGTCGCTGTTGGAAATATGTGAATTGCTTTAATAATTCCTGATAATATTGAATAATGGTGCTAGGTTTTTTTGTTGTTGTTGACTGTGCATAAAAGTAATCTAATATTTTACGTTGCATTTTTTTTTGATAATTGGCTGGATGGCATTTTTCATATGTTTGTTTACTAATTGTATTTTCCTCCTTTGTGAATTGTTAACCCTTTTTTTATTGAATTTTTTTGTTAAGGTTTTTCTGATTATGAAACATACTTGTTTATTTTAGAAAATATAAAGTATAGACGTAGCAGATTTAGTTACAGAATACTGATTTGAATAGGAAATACCAAGTGTATTTTTTAATAATTTATAGCAAATATTAAAGTAACCCTTTAGAAATTTTAGTATACCTTAATGTTACCCTCTCATTCTACAAATGAACAGATTATTTTTTATCTGCAAGATTAGTTGTCTGTGAAATATTAGTAAAATGTGACCAAATTGACAGATTCTGTGACAAGTTTGCTGTCCTGCCTCTTGGGTCTCATGTGTTTTTTCCTAGGGACCTAACTGACTAGCCTTTTGCATCATTCAGAAACAAATATTCATTCTTAAAGACATAAAAATTCTCATGAAGTCCAAAAGAAAGGGAACGTAAAGTAATTGTATTGAATTTTTTTCAGACCTACAGCCTGATTTTCCTGACAGCGCTTTCCTCTCATCCCTGGGTCTTTAAATCACTGCTAGATGTAACCAGCTGGTCATATTAGCAAGGGGGTACCTGTCCACCAGAGAACCTCCTATGATGGGACTCAACTCTTTGGCTGGTTAAGACTTTTCACTCACTCAAATTGGATCCAGACAGCAAGAAGTATCTAAGGAATAAAAGCTTGGGGTGCTAGTCTGGCTTACTTAGGAGTGCTTAGGAGTGCTTTCTTGAGACCCTTTAGTTTGTCAGGTGAGACCCTTTAGTTTGTCAGGTGAGATCAAGCCTGAAATAACAGGAATAGGTGGGCAGATCTGAGTTAGACCGACCTCCCACTGCCTCGGCCCCAGGCTGTAAATATTAATGCATTGGATTGTAGCTTACTTCTGTAGAAGGGAAACTTTGTTCTTAATTATTTGTGTCATCAAAAGTCTGTTAACCTCCAGGAAAGTTCTGTTGGTAAGAGTAGAGAAAATATTAAATGGAAACGGTTTTTGACAGTTCAAAGTGAATGCCTCTCATTTCTGCCACGTGGAACTTCACATCTTATAGCAACTCAGTACGTGAATTTCTTAATAGTGTTGAAAATATAAAATGAATTAAGAACTCCTAAAATGTTCGGGGGTTTTGCCCCCAGAAATTAGACTTACTATTCTACCTCTATATCATGCTATATTATGTACTTTAGAAAATACATAAAAATAGAAAATTTTAAAGGATGAGATTTTTAAAAATAGAAATAGGAATTTTAATACTTTCTTCCAACACTTCAGCAGATCATCTTCCATGCACCCCAGTTGGAAACCACTGGCTTCACTAATAGGTGGCCATTCTGGCCAAGATTGCTTTTTTAACTTTCCCCACATTTCTGGTATCTGGCAGTTTGTTGCCCTGTGGCAGCCACACTGACAGGAACATTACAGACAGGCAGTCAAATGGAGGAGCTGCCCTGCCTCTGGTGTGTAGTCCTTCAGGGTATGCGTGACTGGAGTTGAGTTGCTGGGAACAGTAGGCCTTTCCCCACAGGTAATGGGTTCTTAGTGGTTGTTAACTCTCAGGTCGGCCTTCAGAGATCCGTGTAACCTACAGTGCTCATCATTTTGTCCTGGAACAAAGAGTTACCATTGATGGCAGTGCTTTTAGAGGGAGAGGTGCTCAGAATTCTTGTCTTCCCTTGCTATAGCCATGATATGCAAGGGGTTATTTCCTGTCACTGGGCCTCCGGCACTGTGTTCCAGGAGATGGACATGGTGATAAGGACGAGGAGAGCTTAGAGAAGCAGCATTTGGGGCTCCCGGAAATGATGGTGTTGAAGTGTGCTGACTGGTCTTGGAGTAGGATGAGGAGGGGCTTTGCGGAGGGTTCTCGGGGTTGCAGAGGAAGTGTGCCCCTCCCCATTTTGTGGTCCCCAATCACTTGGATGAGGAGAGGAGCTAGAGGTAGACTTTTCCTCCATTCTTTCTGTCGGACCTGTCTTAGCATTAAAGGTCCACTATTGACATTGGACAGGAAGGACCTGGGAAGAAGGGAGTCAAGTGAGAATCATGGGTGGGGCACTTAGGAGTGGGCAGAGTCGTCCTGAGAATCTGCAGGAGCAGGGGAGGGAAGGATGGGGAGAGGGACCTTCTTGGTAGTGAAGAGTCAGGCTGCACACCACCCAAACTGACCTCGCACTGTGGCATCATCCAGGAGCACAGTTTGTCGCCGGTTTTGGTGATTACAGGCTGAAGAGCGTTGCTGGTCAACACTTGTATTGTAAATCTGTGTGTATTTGACTCCTCCCATCCTTACCTTTGCAGTGTTACATAGTGTCGATAAAGAGGCAGGCTTGGGTTTGGTATGAAGAGCAGACCATCTGTTCCTTCACCTCGCAGGCTGAGTAAACTGAGTGTCGCTCAGATCGCTCATAGGGATTTATATAACTGCACGGTTACAAAAATAGAGGTGAATTAACAGGGCTTTTAAATTTCTTTCTACGGCCATCCACCCTGAACGTGCCTGATCTTGTCTGATCTCGGAAGCTAAGCAGGGTCAGGCCTGGTTAGTACTTGGATGGGAGACCACCTAGGAATACCAGGTGCTGTACGTGTTAAAAAATAAAATAAAACATTTCCTTTATTCTTTTAGCAAACTATTTTTAATTGTGAATGTGAGTACATATTTTCCCCACCCTTTGTTATATAGTTTCCTGACAAATGGATACTTTTCATTTAAATTCTGTAGTTCTGTGTAGTTCAACCAATAAGAATTTCAGTGACTTCGTTACATTGACACCAACTAATAGAAAAACTTCAGAGGGGTTTGCATTCATCAGTATGTTTATTGCTTTGGAAGCTAGCAAGAAAAAATAGAAATTCAATGTAATTGTCTTATTTGTCTATTTGTTTCGTTTCCTGATCTGCAAACATTTAATTCCATGACGGGCCAATTGTAATGTGTAACTAGGGCCTTTACTTTTCGAAATGTGTGTTTGAATCAATGGGCAGTTGTGGGGTCTGGAAGCAATATGAAAGTGACATCATTTATTTTTGCAGACTTTGTAATTTTCTTCTGGAAAATCCAGATTATCCAAAGAGAGAAGATCGAGTCATTATCAACCCCAGTAGCAGCCTGCTTGCCAGCCAAGATGAGACAAAGGCAAGTGCCATGCTCTTTTTTTATGGTCTCTACCTAGAAATGCTCTGCTTTTTACATCATCTTTATGGGAAGAAAGTGCTTTGTCAGGACACATTTTTCAAGACTAGCCGGGAAAATAGGATTTCAGAATATACTTAGACTTCAGTGGGATTTCCCAACCTGAGCCACTTTGACATCTGTATTTAATTTCAATTCTCTCTTCCCTTTTCCATAAAATACAAAACAAATTCTCTATTTCTTTAATACTACAAAGCAAGTTTCTAAAATGAAACAAGAATTGGCCGAGATTTTTGGTATCATTTCGGTTGGGATAACATTTTATTATCAGAAATTTCAATTACACAGTAAAGTCGAAAGATCTTACATTGATCACCTATATACCCAGCAGCAGTACTGTTAGAAGTTAGCATTTTCTCTACTTTGTCACATATCCATCTCTCTGTCCATCAGCACATCTCTTACATTTTATTTCATTATAATGCACTTCAGCATAAATCACTACAACATCAATACACTGCCCAAACATACTTCATCATGTGGATCATTGCCTAGAGTTCAATATCTCTTCATGGTTTTGATGTAAGATTTATATACAGTGCACACACTTATGTCACCAAATCCCGCATCAAGATATAAACAGTTTGATTTTTAAATCTCAATTAATGCCTTCGTTTGTGATCCAAACTAGTGTTTCTTGTAAGTAGTTAAGGAAAGTGTAGTCCAGAACTACGTCACTCGGTCCCTCTACTCCCTACAAATTCTTCTGACTATCTCTTTTACTTATTCCGTAGCCTGAAAACAATTAATTTTCCTAAACATTTTGTGAAAAGAAGATGGCTGAAAGATCGGGTTCAAATCACCAGCTATCCTTTTTTTGTAGCTCTAACTAGTGAAACTCGTCTCCAGACTCTGGAGAGCCGTTTAGCTTCTCCGCTTCACCATTTCTTCGTATCTGTTCAGGACTGGAACCTCTTTGTAGAGTAACTAGGAGTGGGATGGTTTTATTCTGGACTAAGCATTCCTTCAGGTGACTTCCCCTCACGGGACGCACACTGTCTGGCTCTAACGCTGTGCTCCTCTCTCTTTTCAGTTGCCTAAGGTAGACTTTTTTGACTACTCTAAGTTGGCTCCTCTTGACCAGCGCTGCTTCATCCAAGCTGCCGATCTCCTGATGGCCGACTTCAAAATGCTCAGCAGTCAGGACATCAAGTGGGCCCTGCACGAGCTCAAAGGACACTATGCAATCACCCGAAAGGTACACCGTTGGTCTTCCTGGTGGGGTCACACCTCTTGACTACTTCCTGTGATAATGGAGTGAAGAGTTAACGCTTGTGGAAGTTGGGATGGTTTTTCATGGCGAAGTGCTAAGGCGGGTGTCAGGGTGAAGCGCAATAGACAAAGGTGCTTGTGGATCAGGAAGAATCAAATGCAGAGAGATGCTAGATTAGAAGCAGGGGACGTTCAGGCGGGACCATGACGACGCGGGGAGGAATGAATTTTACCAGGTAATGCAGGGTGCCTGGAATGTGGGAGATGTGTCCAGGGCCGTTCCTCCCCCTCCTGCCACGGTGGTTGTTACCAGTTACATGAGGCAAGGTCTGTAAAGCGCCCAAGAGCCCAGCACTGCCCGGTGATGAACGCTGGTCTGCCTCGGAACGGAGTGGGCAGCTGCTGAAAGAGCCCAGTGTTGTTTTCCCCAGGGCCCTAAATAATATTCCACTAAGGGCCAATGTCCCAAGGCTTAGCAGGGTGCCAGTCACCAGGTAACGCAGACGCGCCTTGTTGGTGAAGTCCACCGCGTGGATCCTGTCTCATGGCAGTCAGCCAGGACAGGAGAGCTGCACCAGCAGGTCTTTGGCTAGTTCCTCTTCCTCTCTTCTGCCATGGAATCCATTTCTCCTGTTAAAGTTTTCGTGATTCCCAGCAAACTGCTTTTTTCCAAAAGATAAACAAATGGGAAGTTATTTTAATGGTTAAAACACCCACGGAGTCTTAACTCGAAAGGAGGTAAACCCCCAGGCGGATGTGGCCTCGCGCCGAGTGTAGATTGCCAGGAAAATCCAGGCAACTGTCATTGAACTCCTGATTGTAGATTAATTTTAAGTAAAATTACTCTGAAGGGAATACAGAGTTAGCCCTTTCTGTTTCTAAATCTCATTCCCCATGTTTGCTAACTAGGAAACACCTGTACTGTCATTGAAAAGTGAATGAGCTTCCCCCAAAACTAGTGGCTGCAAGAAAGCTGGGGCTGTTTTATTGCGAGACCCTGCCTGGCAATCTACTGCTCCAGTGGTGCCTCACACCTTTCCTGAGCACGCAGGGAGCCCAGAGGAAGAATCAAAGGGCAGCAGCAGGAGACGCCTCCTGTGGTCTGTGGCCCTCGTTAGTAATGTCCCTGCCACAGGTGTGCTCATCCCACAGCCCACTCGTTATTTGGTGGGAGTGTGTACGGTTTTGTGGCTCATTTTCATTTATACCTTCCTGTCCCTTTCCTCGTCTTTCTGGCTCTTTATGTTTTTTATGGGGTCTGCTTGTTTTGGTGGGTGGTTTGAAAATTTACAGGGTTTTGAAATGAGGTTGGGCTGTTTGAATAAAAGTGGCGTGTTTAAGGGAGAGTACTGTTTGGCAGGAGCTAAAATCTGGCATGCTTGGTTACAGCTGAGAACTCCTCCCTGCTGTGTGCAGATGGTGCCCAAGAGCTCTGCCCTGTAGAAAGTGACACTCATGGGGACAGGGATGAGGAAGACACGCCCAGAGATGTTTTGTAATTACGGCAATAACATGTTTTCCCTGTGCATGGCCAGGCTGCTCCCCACATACGACGATGGCTCGGGGAAGCATGTCCACTGTGAAGACAGAGTCGCATTTCCCTGAATTTTTTTTTTCACATTTTGTTATAAACATCAAGCATGTATAAAAGAGGTTGTATTATAATGAGCCCGTGTTCACTCATCACTCAGCTTCAGTAATTACCAGTTACTTCCCAGTATGGTTTCATCTTCACCCCACCCGCTGCATCCTCCCAGACTGTTTTGAAGCAAATTCCAAGGCATCATCTATCTCATTTCCTTTTCATCCATGACTCTATTAGTGTTTACTTTTGAAAGATAAAGAGTCTTTTTGGAAAACTATAATCAAAATACCGTTATCACAACTTAAAAATCAACATCATTAGATATCCAGTCTATGTTCAAATTTCTCTGAATGTGTCAAAATCATTTTAGCAGTTTGTTTGGTTATCTGGGATTCCAAGTAAATCTCTTTATTTTAGTTGGTATATTATTTCAATCCTTTTTAATGTGTAAGTTTTCTCTCCTCTCTCTCCCAGGCTGCAGAGTCTCTGCAGCTTTTTTGTCATCAAATGCCCATTATAGTGTTTTAGGTCATCCCTCAAAGGAACTTTGGCCATTGTCACAAATATCCTAAAAATCATACCAGACTGTATTCTTGATCTTCGGTGGATATTTGATTTGTGAACATGTGCAAGCCAGAGGGAGAAATGCCAGATAATAGCAAAAAGGAAATTTATTCTTCAGTGATCTGTTGTTCCTGTGTCCTTCCTGTTAGGTTTCTTGAATACTTACTTTGTGGTCGTTACTGGCTCTACGCAGGGAACACTGACATCAGTAGAACACGAATTAGCTTCCTTCCAAAGAGCTTTAAGTCTGAGAGTTTTTTTAAAAAGATTAAAACAGTGTGATGAGTATTATAAAAGAGAAGTACATGAGAGAACACTAGGAAGGAAATGAAGGTGTCATTCGAACAGTCTCAAAAAAATAAAAGATGTTTTTGCTAGAGGAGTGATATGTGCAAAGGGTAAGAGGCAAGAAAAAGTACTCGCGGTGCATTTGTGGTGTGTAGGTGTGAATTATAACTAGCAGATCCCAGAAGGAAGGCACTCAGATGACCTAATTTTATGTGGTCTACGTAACTAGACCTTTAGTCACTGTTACGTGATGATCGTTATAACTATTAAGTAAGATTTTGTAGGCTCCTTTAAATTTGTAGACAACATTTTGTTTTAAGAAACAATTCCCTGGCAAGTACCAGTTTGTGTTCCTGTGTGTGGATTTTTATTTTCTGCGAACTAGAAACATTATTTAAATGGGACAAGGTAAAGCTCATTGCAGTCAGAAGCCTCTGTGTTTTATGCCAGTGCAATGTGGTTGAAAACTCAGTGGACTACGAGTTTGAGCTCTGCGTTCACATTCCGGTTTCTTTGGTTGCTGGTAAATGACGTCTGCCTTGTTTATAAAATGCAAATTGTGATGCCTGTCCTGCCACCTCCCCTGAATTTTTACAAATGGTCCTGGTTCACGGTGGAGTATTTATTTTGGGGTAAAGCTGAGTAAAAATCAATTAGTAATCCTGCAGCTGAGTACAAACATGAGTGACTTTAAGATTAGTATCTAAGGGTTTGTAGGGAACCCTTGGAGTCATGAGAATTCCAGGAAAAAGAAACAAGAAGCAAAGGAAGCAGTCCTGCAGCCATGGAGGGCGTCATCTCATCGGTGGAGGTAGAAAGGTAGCAGGATAGTGTCGTTGTTGGCCAGCTCTTGGTGGGGTTTCACTGAGTTCAGATCCTAGCGTTAATGAAGGTATGATGGGACAAGTTCCTTCTCTCTAAGCCTTGCTTCACTCTGCTGTAAAAGAACTAATACCTCCCTCAGGAGATCATTGTGAGAATCGATTGAGATACGGAGTAGGAAGGTCCAGGTGTCGGGCTTATTTAGCTCATGGGCAGTGTGTATAGCAAATGCCTTATAATCCCCCAACTGAAGAGCTTGAAAAGGAAGGGCTTGGAGGTGGGTTAGGGTGAGGAGTGATCCTTCTCTGTAACTAAGGCCTTTTGTTTTGCTGTCCTACCGCAGAGATACACAGGTGTTTCTCTAAGATAAGTGGGTCAGAATGTGATTTATTAGCAACATTCTTATAACATGTACAGGGCCCTATAATCTTTTGTTCAGCAAATCAGGTGTTAAATATGAACTGTGCAAGTGGCTGAGGATACACCCTGAGCACTGGTGCATCCCTGCCCTCCAGAGGCTCCCAGTCCAGTGGCGGAGATGCAACAGTATCAAACAACGTATATAATTACAGCTGATAAATATTTTGAAAGAAAAATACAAGGTGCTTTAAGTGGCTGAGGATACACCCTGAGCACTGGTGCATCCCTGCCCTCCAGAGGCTCCCAGTCCAGTGGGCGGAGATGAACAGTATCAAACAACATATATAATTACAGCTGATAAATATTTTGAAAGAAAAATACAAGGTGCTTTGAAAGAGGGTAGTAGGACATAAAGTAGACTAAGAGGCTCCAGGAGGGCCTCCCTGACCAAGTGACGTTTAACTACAAACCTGAGTATTATTTAAGTTGGAGTTCGGGAAGGGGGCGTGGAAGACAATGGTTCCATTTCCTGGGATGAGGACACTGTAAGAGAGCCGATCTGGAGGGAAAGGATCGTGAATTCAGTGTGGGAGACGTTGGATTCCCAACATGCCGAGTGGGGTCCGTGAGACAGCCAAGTATAAATTATTCGCCGGGTGGTTGAGTGGGCAGCAAAGGTGGGAAATACAGACAGGAGAATGAATTTAGGGTCATCAGTATATGGGAGGAAACCTCACCAGCCTGGACGAGGTACCCTAGAGGGTGACGAGAGCCGAGGCTGCCCCAAGGACTTGCAGCATCTAGGGACAGGGCAGAGAGGATGGTGGAGGAGGGGCAGCGCAGGGAGGAGGCAGGAAGCAGGAAGCCAGGACAGCGGTACATTGGTCTGCGTTATTAATACCTCTGAGAGGTCAAAGTGAGGGCTGAGACGCAGGTGTTAGACTTGCCCCTGTGTTATGAAGTAGACTAGCAAGTGGCATGGTGGGTTCGATGCCAGATTGGAGGGAGTTGCAAAGCTCGTAGGAGGTGAGGTGATAAAACAATGTGCAGCTGGCTCCTTTGGTAAATTTGGCTACAAAGAGGGGCCAGTAACAAAGGGGAAGGATGCCAAAGGAGGAAGTGTTTTCTTTTTTAAGATGACAAAGACTTGAGCACCCTTAAATGTCTATTGGAAAGATCTAAAAAAGGGAGAAACTACAGGTATGGCAGGAGAATTTTGCGCTCCGGTGTGCAGTACAAAGAAGGGGTAGTTATAGGTGAAAGCAGCGAAGACTGGGGGCGAGTGGAAGGGGCATGTTCACCTGAGGGACACCATGTAAGATGGCCTGTGAAATGCAGCTTGCTGGCCATTTGTTACATGATTTAACCTGTACTTACTCAGGGACAGTTTGAGCAGTTTCTGTTATGTCGCCCTTGAATTTGTCAGCATTTTGGTTCTGCCATCGTAGCAGTTTATGAAAGAGAAAAAAAAAAATGAAATGCTACCTGTTTATTTGGCCACTAACTATTTCTGTAAGGTGGGCAGGAGAGAGAGCTGAAACTGAGTCAAAATGAGATTTGGGGATTGCCTACGTTTCACATATTCTTCTGTCCCATCTATAGTGCTAACCTTTTTCTCTTTCTCAATTTTTAGGCCTTTTCTGATGCCATTAAAAAATGGCAAGAGCTATCGCCAGAAACCAGTGGAAAAAGAAAAAAGAGAAAAGAAATGAATCAGTATTCTTACATAGATTTCAAATTTGAACAAGGTAATGGCAAACTGTGAGTGTCACTGACTGTGAAGCTTATATGCAGAACTGTCCCCTTCCTCCGCAGCCTATGAGGGATGTCGTGGTACAGCTGCTTAGGGAGTGTCTCCTGGCCAGTCCGAGGAGAGTTTTAGAAAGTGGCTACAGTTGTCTTCTTCCTTCTTTCTGCTTAGGATACACTGTGACAGGAAAATGTAGCGAAATGTCAGAGAATTTGTACATGGAAGAGTTTGGGGACACTCTTAAGTTTCGGAAAAAACTGGTCTTGGATATTTGACGAGAATTAGTTTTATCACTAGTAAAAACTGTCTAGACCAGTGAGATTGATTGCTTACTGCCGAGGGGGTCACTTACACCCCTGAGAGTGGCTTCTCACAGGAAAAAAACCAAGCAGCTCTTAAGTAGCCACTGTTTATTTAAAATTCTGTTATTCTTATTGATGAAGTAACTGCTGAAAGCTCTTCGAAGAGGTTGCTTCAGGTCTGATCCCCCCAAAAGGTAAACTTGTTGAATTTTGCAACAAATTTCATCTGAGTTACTGTGTCCAAGAAGAGTCCACTAATTTTCCTATAGATTGTCTCAAGAAGGAATATTTCCATTTCCTTTTCATTTTTCTGTTATATCTGTATTTAATTACATAACTTGATTTCAGGTGTGACTGAATGGAATCTCCATGAGATAGCTATAGAGTTGGAAAGTGTTTGAATATATGAACTCTTCGGGACCTAAAAGAAAATGCCTTAGGCTCTGACTCCTCAGGTCCCCAAGCTAGTCCGTGGAGCAGTGCCCTCCTGACATGGCTTTCTCACAGGTCTTTGGCAGGGTGAGAAAGTGGGGATAGCGTCTAAGTGGTTTTTCACTCAACTAAATTTATCCACATTTTAGACTAGGAATCCCAAATATGTAGCCATTCCATGCCTGTTCTGACTGTAAGTGGCAGAGAAAGGAAAGTCCTGCTTGATGAAGTGATCCACTCCATTGTTGGTCAGCTGCCTCTTTTAGAAAGTTCTTTTATACCAAGCCAGAAGTTACCTTCCTGACATTTCCTGCCATGGTGTAGTTCTTACCTCTGCAAACACTTGGAGTCTGTCTGTCGCTGCTTTGTCATTCTGATTTGCTTCCGTGTGCCCTTCTCTAGCATGTCGGTATCTTTTGGAGAGTTTGGGTGCGCCGGGCTGGACCAGGGACTCAAGTGAGGTCTGCCGTGTAGAGACAGCGGCTGAGGTCTAGATTCTGTGTTTAAGCCCACGTAGCCCAAGACCATCATGGCTTTTGAAAATCAAAATAGGTCCCACCTTTGGCTCACATTCAGCCTCGGTCTTTTCACCCACCTTGCTTTTAAGTCACAAAGCTCTCTCAGTTTTGCTTCATCTGACATTTTTCCCTATTAATGTCATCTCAGTTCCAGCCCATTGTTTCAGGTATATCCCTTTAATTTTGGATTCTGATTCTTATACTACACTTATTAGATCATCTTTAAGAACACTAGAAGTTAGAAAATACACTTGACATACATTAGTAGTTTAATATTTGTGACTTATAGATACACTTAACCTTTCTTCTCAGCAGTTTATAAGCACATAGGCTAAGGATCCTTCACCTGTTGCAGGAATCCCTTCACCTTTTCAGGTTGTTTTCCATCTAGTCACTGCTCTTTGTGCTATACATTGCCTCGTTGAAAGAGACTGCCCTTTTTATGGTCCTCATGAGCTGACCATAAGCCTCTCATGAAGAGTCTGGTTAGAAATGGGATGTAAACTGAGCTTCAATAGTATGCAACATATCACCTTTAGCAGCGCTAACCAAGAAAAAAAAAAAGAGGAGACACAAATGACCAATATCAGGAGTGATCACTTTTTATGGGAGATATCACTATAGACCCTACAGACATCCAAAAAAGAATAATGTGAATAACTTTCACATGTAAATTTGACAACTTAGATGAAAAGGACCAATTACTCAAAAAATACAGACTACCAAAACTTACCCATATAAAACAGATAATTTGAATAGCCCTATATATAGCTATAAAGGAAGTGGAATTCATAATTTTAAATCTTCCAACAAAGACATCTCCAGCCCCAGTTGGTTTCACAGGAAAATTCTTCCCAACGTTAATAGAAGATTCAACACCAATTCTACACAATCTCTTCCAGAAAATAGAAGAGTAGGAAACACTTCCTGACTCATTTTATAAAGCCCGTGTTACTCGGATAACAAAACCAGAGATAGTACAAAAAATAAAGTTATAGACCAACATTATTCATAAATATAGATGCAAAAATCCTTAACAAAATATTAGCAAATAGAACTTATAAATATGTATTTAAATATATAAAGTATATTTATAGAAATATATAAAAATATTTTTTAAAACATACACTGGGACCAAATGGAGTGTATTCCAGGAATGCAAGCCTGGTTCAGTTTTTGGAAACCAGTCAGTTCAGTCTGTCATGTTAAACTAAAGAAACATCACATGACCACATCAGTTGATGCAGAAAAGGTATTGAACACCTATTCATGATTAAAATGCCCAGAAAATTAGGATTCGTGCTTTCTCAGCTTGATAACAGCTACAAGAATACTCATGGCTAACCTCAGACTTAATGTGAACCCTATTCCCCTGTGATCGGGCAAGGAAAGGATGTCTTCTCTTCCCTGCCATTCCTCATGGTACTGAAGTCCCAAGCCCCCACAATAAAGAAGGAGAATAAAGGTACAGATCAGAAAGGAAGAAGTAAAACTGTCCCCAAAGGCAGATGATATGATAGTCTGCATAGAAAATGCCAAGGAATCTACCCCAAACTCCTAGAACTAATAAATGAGTTCAGTATGGTTGCAGATATAAGATCAACCTAGAAAAACCAATTGCATTTCTATATACTGGCAATGAGCATGTGGAAACCAAAATTAAAAAGTGTACCATTTACAGTAGTTCCCCCCAAAATTAAATACTTAAGTGTAAATCTATTAAAATACGAACAGGGCTTATATGATGAAAACTACAAAACACTGAGGAAAACTCAAGATAAATATAAATGGAGACACATAACTGTGTTCATGGATTGGAAGACAATATAGTAAAGATGTCAGTCCTCCCACATTATACATAGGCAGGCCTAATTTTATTGTGCTTCATTTTATTGCACTTTGCAAATAATGTGTTCTCATCAACATCAAGGCAAGACCCCTCCACCAGCAAAAAGATTTTGGCTTGCCGAAGGCTCAGGTGGTAGTTAGTATTTTTGAGCAATAAGGTATTTTTTAATTAAGATGTGTCCATTTTTTTAGACGCAATACTATTACACACCTTAAATAGACTACGGTATAAGGTAAATGTAATTTTTACATGCACTGGAGTCCCAAAAAGGTTGTGTGACTGTATGGCACTCTTCGCTTTATTGCCATGGTCTGGAACCCAACCGGAAATACTTCCAAGGTGTGTATGTACAGGCTTAATATAATTCCTATCAAAATCCCAGCAAGATTTTTTGGTAAATACAGGCAAGCTGAATCTAAAATGTATATGGAAAGGCAAGGTAGTATAATAGCTAAAATAATTTTTTAAAAGGATAAAGTAGGGGAAATCAGTCTACCTGATTTCAAGACTTAATTGCATAGCTACAGTGATTAAAACCCACAGGGGCAGAAACATACACAAGTAGATTGATTGAAACTAAAGAACGAAACACTAGTTTTCTAAATAATAAAAAGTTTTAATTTTTAAAAACTAGTGAGAAAGAACAAGAAAAAAATAAAATGTATCAGGATCCAAATATAGTAAATATTCGTAAAATCAAAAGAAATGTACAAAGAACGACTTTTGTGAGTAAATAGGAAATCTAGAAGGAGTAGACCATTTTCTAGAAAATGTAAATTAACAAATCAAAGAAGAAATAGAAACCTGAACAGACCAATTACATGATCTGATGTTTATCATTTATTTTTATTCTAAGTTATTTATTATGAATCTAGGTATTAACCTTTCAGCTTTTCTGTTTGAAATCCTCAAAATACAAAGTTTAAAAACATAAACACGTGCACCTACTAAAACGGCTAAAATTAGAAAACGATGACACCAGGTATTGATGAACACGTGGAATGACAGGGACTCACGTGCATTGCTGGGGGAGAGAGAGTGTAAATTGGAACAACCACACTAGAAAACTGGCCTATTTTCCAAAGCCGATCCAGCAATTTCATTCCTTGGTGTCTGCTCGACTGAATTGTAGACATATGTTCAGCAGCCCTATTTAACCCCACACTGTAAACCACCTGTCCTCAGTGGAATGGACAGTGACCTGTGTTACAGTCACACAGCCCAATACCGACTGGATAGAAGAGACCTTCCAGTTGAAGCATAACAGGATAAAGATGCGAAAGTCAGAAGTGCACGGCAGGTTAGGGATGGTATGAGCTCATTGTTGTTCCCAAATGGTGGAGTGTGTTCTAGGAAGAACAAAATATGCCGCTAGAAAGTAGGTGGGGCGTGGGCTGCAGATGAGTGCCTGGCCTGGATACCTAGCAAACAGTTGTCTGAATGATTTTGCATTGTTATGTACCTTCTAGGTGACATAAAAATAGAAAAGAGGATGTTCTTTCTGGAAAATAAGCGGCGACATTGTAGGTCCTATGACCGGCATGCCCTCCTTCCAGCTGTGCAGCAAGAGCAGGAGTTCTATGAACAGAAAATCAAAGAGATGGCAGAGGTAGGGAGACGTGCTTAGCATGGGTTTCTGGGATTCTGGTACGCGGTTATGGCTTAGTATGAAACTGTCTTTTAAGATTTGCCATTTCTTTTGAGCAATTAACTTGAATAAACTATAGAGTTTTTAAGAGAGAAAACAAAACTGGGTTTTGTAATGATACTAAGGTCAGCAGGTTTGTAAATCAGGTTTATGTTAGAGAATTTTAATTGGAGCTTAGTACACATATCTGACCTCCCTCAGTCTCTGGTGGCAGAGAAAAGCCAGAGAGTCCATTTAGCTCTTTAATTCTTCCCAATAGACTATCAAATTTGCAAGCCAACCAGAATATATTGGTTGTTTAATATGTATTTTCTAGACCAGCAGTTCTGAAAGTATGACCCGCGGACCCCTGGCTTCCCTTAGACTCTTTGGGGGTTCGGGAAGTTATTTAGCTCTCTTCATGATAAGATATGTTTTCACCATGTTGAATTTGTACTGACAGAACAAAAGCAACGGTACCTTAGCGTGAAGCAGTCCAGTGGCGCCAAAGTGTACCCGATAATCATTATTTTCTTCACCACCGTGCACTCATGTTTTTTTAAAAAAGGCAGTGTCACCTAATGTAACATAATAGGTGATCAAGTAACTCTGTGACAGATGGATCAAGACCTCCAAAATTTTGATTTCTGCTTGAGAGCCAGAATTTTATCGTTAGCCATAATCACTTTATTCAGTTTTGAGAAAGTGTCTTGCCAAATACATAATCTTGAATAATCACAGTTTTTCTGTCGTTTTTTCAAGTAACAATGGTGTTCTGTTTAAAAAAAAAAATAAATGCCTAATTGAGCAGCTTGCAACCAGTGACAAGTGCTTCTGGAGATGGCCACCGTCATTGAGATGCAGCAGAGCACTTGGTGCACACTTCCCATTTTGTCAGAGTATCGAAAAGGTGGTTTTGAGGGTCAAAGTTCAATAAATAATTTTTAAACTGCTAAGCTATGTAACTGAAGAGATGACTTAATAATAGAGTTCTTTTATGTTTATGGAAATAAATTCTAGATGGTGTGCAGCATCTTTACTAAATTTGTATCTGCATGTCTGGTGTTTTTGTTCCTCAGCATGAAGATTTTTTGCTTGCTCTGCAGATGAATGAAGAACAATATCAAAAGGTAGTTTGAAAACTCACCTTATTCATTTATTCTGGCATTTTTTTGTGGGCTATTGTCTCTCATCACATTTCCTTTGCTTTTTGATGGCACATGGGTTCCCGGTTAGCCTCCTGTTGATCTGCTGTTTGTGGTTCGGCCAGGTGACAGACGCTTGAAACATAATAGTCAGTTTTAATGCCAGACTGGATGAGAATTGAAGAGAAGATGATAAGTGTTCCTGTTAAGGAATGCTGCCTGGCATCCATTAGACAAACTCTTAGAGGAAAACTTAGGACTCGGATATCACTTACACAGAGTTAGGAGGAAGAGATACGTATAACCCCAGGGCCAGACGGGCCTCGTCCTATCTGCCGTCCTTATGCAGAGGCCTTTTCTTACATGGTAGGGATGGACTAGTCACTGGACCAATCTCTGCCATTAAGAAGAAGAGTACGTTTCCCGGGACTCATGGCGCCTGAGATTGCAGCGTTAGTTAGCTCAGTAGTCCCTTGAGATAAAGCTTGGGCTGGGCCATGACCTTCTTACACCTGTCTTACTACAAAAAGAGCAGAATCCAACTTTTAAAGCTTTTTAGATAACATCCCTCATGCCACTTGTCCCCGACTCTTAGCATGTCAGCAGTATAATCTGATTGCAGATGGTATAGTTCTGTTGGTACTGTGGAATTCATGAATATGATAACTTTATACAAAGGACGACCCCCCAAAAAGTACCAAAAAAAAAAATGAAACACAATGTCTTTAGCTATGTATTAATGTTTGTACGGTGGAATATCAACCTAGATATATGCAGAGGGAAGCAGCTCCATGTTGTTTCATGGATTCTGGGGTTGCTTTTCGCCCCCTGGGAGCAGGCAGTAGGAAGCCTGTCGCCCTCCGCTGACTGGGGCTGTCACATGTATTCCTGCAGGATGGCCAGCTGATTGAGTGCCGCTGCTGCTACGGGGAATTCCCATTCGAGGAGCTGACGCAGTGTGCAGATGCTCACTTGTTCTGCAAAGAGTGTCTCATCAGATACGCGCAGGAGGCCGTCTTTGGATCTGGAAAGGTAAGAGACCTGTGGAATACACCCGCAGGTAGGAAACGTTCACAGAGTCTGAGGAGACCACGTGTATAGACCGGTATAAATGCCTCATGGGAGTGCCTTCTGGAGGGAGCCGGAACTCCACTAAGACGTCCAGTGTGTGTGGTTCCCAGGCAGTCCCTGGTTTGTGCAATTGTGTTGGTTGCAAGCACAACAACAGATTTCTTTTCAGGGACTGGTAAAATTCCTCTGTGTCCCCATCCTTCTATGTCTCAGGCATGCCTGCTGCCTCCCGCAGCTTCTTGCTTCTAAGAAAAACGAAGGATGAAATCAAAAAAGAATCTTGCAGTCTGTTTGAATGAGAGTGCAAATTAGTACTTTTTCACAAATGTTTTAAAGGATTTTATAGTCATATTAAAATCAATTATTTTATACAAGATCATATTTTTTTCCCAAAGTTAGCTTCTCTTGATACCAGCATAACATAGTATGCAAAGTTTGTTTTGTTTTGATGAACACTTTAAAAAAAACCACAATTGCTTTTCATAAATGCCTGACCGATAACCAGATCACTCGACATCAATTATCCTGCAGTCCATTGTAGTTTAGTCAAGGACCGAGTAACAATTATGAGCAGAGAGGTTGTGATTGGCATAAGAATGCCCCCTCCCAAAGATGTCCCCCTCCTGATCCCTAGGACCTGTGGATATGCTGCCTTACATGGCAAAGGAGAATTAAGGTTGCTAATCAGATGACCTTAAAATAGGGAGGTTGTCCAGGATTGTCCAGGTAGGCCCAGTGTGATCCCAGGGGTCCTTACAAATGGACAAGAGTGGCCGAAGGGGTCAGAGTGCAGTGGTGTGGCTCTGAAGATGGAGTCCAGGTGTTCCAGAGAATGTGCTCTGCCCTCCTAGAAGAGCCTTGGGTACCTGACTCATCTGAAGCAGGTGGGAGCTGGAGGCTTTTCAAACAGTCCCCCAGTTTTTAGTTTATATTCCTGTCAGTCCCCTCTCCTCCCACCACTCATTCTGCCTTCCAAGAGGTCCAGACCTCCAGCCATTCCAGGGGCCATAGAGGGACCTGCCTGCTGCTCACATGATCTCCCGACACTGAGCTGTGACCCTCCTCCTCAGGTCTGCTGAGTCATTTACCTTCCCCGTCCGCTTTCCATCATCGTGTATTGTGTGTCGGGCTGATGGAGGTCTTGGTGGTGTCAGAGGCAGACTGTGTGCTTTTGTTTCCTGGTTTCCTTGTTGTGAGTGTGGTTCCTCCAGAAAGAGGACAGAGAGGTCTTTACCACCATAAAGCCTGTGTTCTTAACCATGGTTCATTTGCTTCCCACTGAGAGACACATTTAACCACTGAGGCTTTTCCTTTTTCTGACAACTTGGTTGAACTTGTTGCTGTCCTCTTTGTCCCTAACCTCATTCTAGGCAGAGCTCAGCTGCATGGAAGGCAGCTGCACGTGCTCATTCCCGACCAGTGAGCTGGAGAAGGTGCTTCCGCAGACCATCCTGTACAGGTACTACGAGCGGAAAGCCGAAGAGGAAGTCGCCGCCGCCTATGCCGATGAGCTGGTCAGGTGAGTTCTTAGTCAAAGGGTGTCATCTGTCAACTCTGTCCCCGTTAGGAAGGCTGCCTGAGCACTTTGATCAGACAATGAAAATTCCGTTAACGCCTATATCTTCCAGGTTTTCTGGGATTTTTTTTCCTGGGAAATAAAAGAATAATTGTATTAAGGGGAAAATGTACAGTTCAAATTGTTGCCTACCTCCCTTGGTGCCCCTTGATCATCTGGCCTGTAGGTACAGACATTGTGCATTGGGGTGGAGAGAAAGCGACATGTGTGAGGAGTTCTCAGAAGGGTATGTTTATTGAATAGTGTGCATTGAAGCAGGATCCTGAATGGCACCTGCACTTCCTGGTAGGAGCCAGCACACAGGAGAGCCTGCCTGCAACAGTCCATGTATTAATGAAAAGTAAGGAGTAAAAGAGGTATGGCCGGCCAGCTGAAAACTCCATCCCAGGATGAATGGCGAGGCTTGACTATTCTGAGTAACGTCCCTTTGCTGTTTGACTCTAGGTGCCCCTCTTGTAGCTTTCCTGCTCTGCTGGACAGTGACGTGAAGAGGTTCAGTTGTCCCAATCCGCGCTGCCGAAAGGTAGGCAGTTTTTTTCTGCATTTATACTGGAATCGTAGTGTGGGCTTCCTTCATGGCCCGAGTAGCCGTTGATTATCTGCGTGCTGACCCATGGGAAGAGTTTGAGTGCTGTCCTCTCCATGAAAGCAGGCGAAGATCGGTTCTCAGAGAGGTGGTCAACGTGGTTACAGAGATGGGGCCACGTGTGGAATCGCGGTCACAAAGCCCTGGATCTCTGTTTCATGCCATCTTCCTACAAGGGCAGTTATTATAATGTGAAATGTGTAGAGTTTTCTGTTTCTTCCACTATGCCAGCATTTTTCTCGCTCTTTTCACCCTGTTGTACTCAGATTGTTTCTATGTGCGGACACACACACACACACACACACCTGCCATTTACAAAGTCCTAATGACACTTTGATTAAAGAACTGGGCATCATGGTGGCATCTCTGTCATGTCTGGTAGATTATTCAGTGCACTGTTCTCATAAGAGCCGTTGGCGTCAGGTGAGACGAAAGCTGTCCAGTCACCTTGCTGCTGAAAATCTTTCTTCTCTTTAAATAGACTCCTTTTCTGTGAACTAAGACTGTCTTAAAATTTGTCAACTATAAGCCACTTAGCATTTTCAGTGAACATTGGCATCTGTCCAGACAAGTATGTTTTAAGCCATTTTTCTAAAATAGCGTGATCAAAGTTGAATAGTATAATATCTCTGCCTTGAAATGAAAGTAGATATTGGAAAAGGAAGAAGGAAACTAAAGTAATAGACTAAAACTTTATTCCTTTTATTTTCAACATTAACATTTCTGTGTAAAATATGGATGTATATTTACAACTGACATGGTTCATTTTATAATTTGTCCCCATCTCAGGCTGTTGATGTAACAGTTGTCCCAGCAGTCATCTTAGAACTAAGAAAGTGGAGTGATTGACCATGCTCCCAGTGTGTCTCGCCCTGGGGCGCCTGGGAAGGCTGTGCCTGAGAGCTGAGACAAAGAGCAAGGAGGCAGCCGAGGGAAGCAGAGGGTGGGAGCGAAGTGAAAGCAAAGACGGTGGAATGTTCCAGGTCCAAGGAGCAGTAGCACCCTGGACACTGACTGATACTGGGGGCTGGGTGGGGCCGGGGCCATGCAGGCCTTGAACCCCATCTTGAGGCGGGGACGAAGGGAGCAAGAGATCAGGGCAGTCTGTTGGCTATCGAGTAATTTAGGGGAGAGATGCGTGTCGGCACCGTCCTGCTGGAGTTCCCGTGAATTGCTGAAATAGAGCTGGGAACTGCACTGCTCGTATGATTCCAAGTTAGGCTCTGTCGGTGAAAGTTCTCACATGATTATGAAGACCAAAGAAGGGGAGGCCGTTATGCTGTAAAGACCATTTCAAGCAGGCATGAGGGCGCTCAGGTCTGTTGTAGCATCCATCCTGTGAGTGTCTTGAAAACACCCAACCTGGGATGTCAGCGAAAGTCTCCCAGAGGCTCTTAAGATCCTAGGCAGAAACACCAGATACTCTGCTTCCTCTCTAAATACTCCTGCTATTTTGAATTTGGTGGTGGGCACACAGCTTCTTTTGGCCAAGGAAATGTGAGTGTGGGTGAGATAGGTCACTTGCCAGAAAAGTGGTAAAAACATATACTTCGGGATAATGTTAGCAAGATGGCAGAATAGGCAGCCTCAGGCCCTCTTTCTCCCACGGAAACACACTGGTTCCTCAGTACACGGATCAGCTACCTTTATGAGAAATCTAGAAAACAAGAGACTTCTGCACTGCAGACAGTACAAAGCCAGCGGCAGGGGAGCCCATTGGAGAACTCAGAACTCACTGACCAGAGCCCTCCCGCTGGCACATGCAGCGCGGTTGCGGGGACTCCTAACTCCCCACTTTTCCTGGAGTGGACGAGAAGACTAGAGCATACATCTGACTTTAAGACATCTCAGAGGGCTACCCAAAGGGCTGGCCTCTAGCTTTCCTGAATCTAAGCACTGACGGGAAGGAGCACCAGGTTGGGGACTCGAGAACAAGGACAGTGGTTTGAACTAGCAGACACTCTCCACTGCCCCTCCTTTCGGCTTAGCAGGAGAAAACCTCCAACTCTCTGCTTCTCCCTAAGGAGGAGCGTTGGAGCGTATGTCCAACATTCAGCTTTTGGGGAGACTGTCCAAGGGGTGAGTTTCTGCCTTACCCGACTTGGAGCACTGATTCGGGGCACTGACAGAACCCCACATACTTAGATGCCTAGAGACCTCTGAGAACCAAAAAGAGTTGGGCAGCTTATAGCAGCTCCAGAGAACCTGTAGTACTGTCAACAGGCACCAGAGGGAGCAAGAGATTATAAGCTCCTGAAAAAAGAAACCAGCAAACCTCTCTAATTGGGAATTTACACGTGTAAGTCCAGAAGATGCAGCCACAGAAAAGGTTTGAGAGGCCACTAGAATCTATAGCCAGGCTGATGGGTGGAAATCTTTCCCTGTACAGAGCTAGTCCGTTTTTTCAAATGTATGGACGCCAACACTAACAAGGCACAAGAAGAGACATAGTCCAACAAAGGAACAAATTAAGTGTTTAGAAACTGACCCTGAAGAAGTGGAGGTATGTGAATTACCTGACAAAGAATTCAAAATAATCATCAGGAAGACAATCAGTGAGCTCAGAAAAAATGGTACGTGACATAATGAAAATGAGAATGTGAGAATGTCCACAAAGAAAATACTTAAAAGAAACAAACAAAATTTGGAGCTGACAAATACAATAAATGATTGAAAATTTCTCTAGAGGCATTCAACAGCAGACTTGGTCAAGCAGAAGAGAGAATCAGCAAACTCAAAGACAGGTCATTTGAAATTAGTCAGAAGCAAAACGAAAAAAGAATGAAGATTAAGGAAAGCTTAAGGGACATATGGGACACCATTTAGCGGACCAGTACATGCCCATTTTGAGAGTCCCAGAAGAAGAAGAGAGGAAGAGGCAGAAAGCTTATTTGAAAAAATAATGGCCAAAGCTTCCAAAATCTGGGGAAGGAAGTGGACATCCTGACTCAAGAAGTCAATTGCACCCCAATTAGGATGGACTGAGACACTTTATAATCAAATTGTCAAAAGTCAAAGAATTTTAAAAACAGCAAAAGAAAAGCAACTCGTCACATACATTGTAGCTCCCATAATATTCTCGGTGAATTTTTCAGCAGAAACCTTGTAGGACAGATGAAAGTAAGGTGATATATTCAAAGTTCTGAAAGAATAAAAGAAAAAACTGCCAGGAGTACTGTATTGGCATAATTATTCTTTAGAAGTGAGGGAGAAATTAAGACATGCACGGATAAACAAAAGCTGAGGGAGTTTCCTATTACCAGACCTACCTTGCAAGAAATGCTAATGGCAGTCCTTGAAAGTGAAACAAAAGAATGCTAGATAGCAACACGAAAGCACATAAAGGTATAAAGCTCACTAGTAAAGGCAAGTGTGTAGACAGACAATAATGTGTGTACATGTAATCACTTTTAATTCTGGTATAGAATTTAAAAGACCAAAGTATAAAAAATAACTATAAAATATATTAATGGATATACAATATCAGAAAAATTAATTTGTGACATGAGTAACAAAGGGTGGGGTACAAGTAGTTTTCGTACATGATCCATAGTTGTTACCAGTTTAAAATAGATTGTTATAACTATACACAAGAGAAGATGAGAAAGGAATCAAAGCATGTCGCTACGAAAAATCAATGTTGCACAAAGGAAGACAGAAAGAGAGGAAAGGAAACAAAAAAGCTACAGGACAGAGAACAACAAAATGGCAGTAAGTTCTGCCCTATCAGTGGTACTTTAGAGGATCATACAGCACGACCAGATGGGATTCATGCCAGGAATGCAAAGGTGGTTCAACAAAAGTCAGTGTGACAACACATTAGGAAGAATAAAAATGTCTCAGGAGATGCAGAATGAGCATATTTGACAGAATTCAACATCCTTTCAAATAAAAACACTCAAACTAAGAATAAGAGGAGATTACCTCTACATAATAAAGGCTATAAATGAAAAGGCTATAGCAAATATCATACTCAGTGGTGAAAAACTAATACTTCTCTTAAAATCAGGAAAAAAGCAAAGATACCCATTCTCTTCACTTTTATTTACCATATTACTGAAAGTCCTAGTAAGAGCAATAAGCAAGAAAAAGGCATTCAGATTGGAAAAGAAAAAGTAAAATTATCTCCGCTTGCAGACGATGTTATCTTATATGTAAAATACTGTTAGAACTAATTCAGCAAAGTGGCAGGATACAAAATCAACATGCAAAAAATCAGTTCTGTTTCCATACACGAACAACAAAAAACTCTGAAAAGGAAATTAAGACTATAGTCCCATTTACAGTATTATCAAAAAGAATAAAATGCTTAGGAATAAATTTTAACCAAGGAGGTGAAAGACTGCTATGCTGAAAACCACAAAACATTGCTGAGAGAAATTACACACTAGTGGAAGGACATCTGTGTGCATGGATTGGAAGACTTATACTGTTAAAATGACATGCTGCCCAAAGCCACCTGCATATTCAGTGCAGCCCCTATGAAAATCCCAATGGCATTTTTTGCAGAAACAAAAAAAATCCTGAAATTCATATTGGAACCACAAAGGACCCCAAATAACCAAAACAGTCTGGAGAAAAGAACAAAGCTGGAAGCCTTACACTTCTTCACTTCAAAGCATATTACAAAGCTACGGTAATCAAAACAGTATGGTACTAGCATACAGACAGACATACAAGCCAATGGATCAGGGTAGAGAGCCTGGGAATAAACTCATGCATATATAGTCAAGGGTACCAAGACTACACAATGGGGAAAGGATAGGCTTGTCAACACATGGCTCTGGGAAAACTGGATAACCACATATAAAAGAATGAAATTGGATATTATACCATATTAAAAAATCAACTTAAAGTGGGTTAAAGACATAAACATATGACCTGAAACTATAAAAATCTAGAAGAAAACATAGAGGAAAGTCAGGTGATTTCCTGGG